GTAGTAGTAGTAGTAGTAGTAGTAGTAGTAGTAGTAGTAGTAGTAGTAGTAGTAGTAGTAGTAGTAGTAGTAGTAGTAGTAGTAGTAGTAGTAGTAGTAGTAGTAGTAGTAGTAGTAGTAGTAGTAGTAGTAGTATGCAGTGCTTGATGAATGGATATTGTTTGCACTTTTCCACTTCTACTTAACAAAACTTTTTTTTCACCGAAAAAAAGATGCCAAATTTTTGATTGAATATAGGACCATCGGAAACTAGTCTTATTGTTGTCTTAATTCATGCCAATCGAAATATTATTATATTTTTAAAGTGTAGGTTAATTAAACAAGAGGTTATTCAATGAAAAGATCCAGTTAACGAACGCTTGGCTCATTATTTTGATTCTCATTGGAAAGTTTATATGTACGAACTTCCCGTTTCACTACTGTTGATGAGATTAATCAGGGATCACATGACAAATGATGAAATAGTATGGATGGTTATGAAAATGAACTGAAATAATTTTTTAAGAATTAACGAAAAAGGACAACACGGGATAGAAGCTCAATATGAAGTAGAGTGATGAAACAACTGGGAAATACTATGGCAATTTATACAGCTGGGTATTAGTGCAAATTTTTAAAAAAGAAAAACGAAAAATTCGAAAAAAGTTGAAATACTTTTGCTTTTTCCATTTTCTCGTTTTCCCCTTTTTCTCTATTTTTTTAATAAATATCACGCAATGACAGCAATTTTCCGAAATATGAGCCATAAATTTTTTGAATTTTGCGTAATATTGCCGTTTTGAATTTCACTGAGGGAAAGATTGAATTAAATCATTCATTGGACGAAAGGAAATTGGAATGATTTGACAGAAATGTTGGATTCATGTGATCGGAAGACAAATTGGATAGTTTAATTTTAAGGGTTTCCTTTCTTTTTTTAGAAAATATGTAAGTATGATTAAGCATTCAAATTGTTCCTTCGAGTCTCTTTGGCTTCGAATTATTGTGTTACTTGCTAACTCAATATTAAAGTTGAAAAAAAGAATAAGTGATTAGAGGGAACTCTGAAATGAAGAAATTTTGGTGAGAAAAAAAGAAAACAGTGCCAATTTCGGTATTTTAATTTGCTTTAACAAGAAATTTAATTTAACAAACGAATCACTCATGTTTTTTTTCCGAATTCACTTCCATAGTTTAAAAAATAGAGAAAACGAAATTCAATTTCTTGTTCATTTCAGACACCGTCATTGATATTTTGTGATATTGCGGACAGTACAGCGCAATATGAAATGCAAATGATCCGATTGTAAAAGCAATCCTAATTATTACTCCAACAAAAAGATGGTACAGGATTAAAGACCCGAAACAACCCTAAATTAATTTTGTACTGTTAAGAAAAAGAAATTGATGAAAGATGATGAAAGATGTAAAATTTGCAATATGGAAGCCATATATTATCATTATTACTTTATACGCTTTAATATTCCATATTTATAAATGTAATCTTTTCATTTCCTAAACATACTTATTTCTTACTTCCATTATTTGGTTCTTTTCATCTTACCATAAGTTACTGTCCTTTAGAATATTGTCCCTTTTTTTCAGGGATAAAAATTGAAAAAGGAAAAAATTTCTTTCAAGTCATTTATTCTTCACCAATTACTTTGTATTTAATTCACTTCATTTTCTGAACTTTTTTTTTATTTTTTGTTTTACTAATCTTTTTAATCACTCGATGATTATAAATTCCCAAAATTGTATATTGGTATGATGCAAATATTTGTTTGTACCGTGTAGGCATTTCTCCTTTCTCCGATTTTTTTTTCTAGAAGAATGGTGCTTCCTAATTATAATTTATATTGAGGTAATACAGGCAGTACATCAGTCAGTTTGTTCACACTTATCAGCTTTCAACATGAATCTTGCATATTGAGACAAAGTGTAAGAGTGGATATAATGAAAGTATGTTGATATGAATCCGATAGTTAAGACTCTAAGTTGAGAGCATTCCGAAGTGGGATGAAGTTAATTTCTTGAAATATTTTAATTTACAGAATCGTTTAATTTTTTCATTTACTGTCTTAAATTTGAAATAAAATGACGTCTCGCTTACTGTTTTCGTTATTTTGATTGATGAAAATGAAACAAAATATCACAATAATTACTTGCTCTGACTGTGTAGAATGAGCATAAGTATATCATTATGAATACTGCACAAACTTTCGAATTTCGCTTACTTTTTTTTGTGAATTTTGCAAGTGCAAAAAGGAAATTTATCAGTGACTAATAGGTTTGGCAAAAAAATCTCTCGAAATGCTTTCGTATTACAAATTAATTGCAATGAACAAGATGGGTCAAAATCACAAAATCTGTAAAAAATGAGCAGTCCTTCTTTTCATCAATAATATGAAAATGTCTGTCTGATCTATGGGTAACATCTGAAGGAAACCCGAAATATTTTTCCGTTTTCTACGACCAAACATTGTTATACGGCTCTGATTGTTTCTTCATCTTACACTTTGCGCGTATGAGTATTATCGTATTTAGTGTAAAATTAGTGACACTGATAAATGATGACAATGACTGACTGGCAATGTTATTATGGTTGGCCTCGAAAAGCTGTTTACATAAAAGCAACTAAACATATTTGCTCATTTAAAGCGTCATATCTAGTATTCTAACCTAATTTTACCTAATTTGTACTGTTTCCAGTTGAGCTTTTATCATGTACTACGAGAACTCCATACTTGAAAGATTATTTTCAGAGTTCTTATTGAACAATTTTCTATTTAATTTGTACTGCATTTTCTTTTTCTTGAAGTGATGCAGATACCAGTCCGTTCTTTATTTTATGCCAACTTTTTATTTTTTCTAAGCATTTGGCATTTGAAGAGAACAAATTCAATTCGTAGTTTTAGAAGGGAATAATTATCATTTAAAGATAATGACATGTAAAACTGCTGCTTAACAATACTGATTAATATTGTCTTTTCATAGGATTCAAATTTAAAAAGAAATTACTATCCTTCATCTAATCGGATGTTTTTAAAGATAAATGATTTTTTTTATGTTTTGTTGAATCATTTCTCTTCTTTTTTGTCATAATTTTTCATGCAAGAAGGGAGGGTTTTTCAAATAGTTTAGATCAGAAGTGTATTCAAATTTTTATTAGTCCACTTATTCTAATACATTTGGTACTTTAGCAAATTAGGCTTATTCAGTGCAGCAGCGTTGTTGAAGACGGAAACTGTTCCTTTATTCTTTTTGAGATTGCGGCCAAACTCGGCAATGATAGTACTTTAATACCTCTAGGTCTTCATCCAAAACAAAAAAAGCAGCTTCCTTTCTCGATCCCATGAAATATTTATTGAAATTTGCAAAAAAAATCATTGAATTTAACTTATAAATACTGAAATAATATATGAGCAAATTTATTAGGAAACATGATAATTTTTTGGACTATTTTGAAAAATATAGCGTCTGCGAAATTTGGTAGTTTGTATGAAAAGATATTTGAAAAGATGGACAGATATTCAATAATATTGCCAGTAAGTCAGACATTAAAACAACCTGGCTATTTTGAGGGATATTGAGGAAACGATTTCGAATACCGTCTTATTTAAATGATAATAACTGTTAACGATTTCATGTTATAAGTAAATTCTTAAAAAACGATTTGTTAGTTTCTTTTTTATTCTCTTTAAGCTCCAAACTTTAAGCTTATTCGCGCTTTATAGTACTCTTTACTGATCGTTCTTTGTTTAACCTTTGAATTTTACTGTGGCTTAGACATTATGACACTATCGCCTCCTCACCAATTTTGCAGCACCTCCAACCTTGTATAAACACTAGAAACTTGGGTTAAACTGGACTTCATTAAATGCAAAATAATGCATTATTTGGGTGGAAATGGTTCGAGGGTGAAAAACTTCGAAATTTCAGATGATTTCGGAATTAAAGAGATTTTCCAGGATATCTCCAAAATTGTACCATAATGGTATCTAATGAATTTAAAAAAACAACTAAATGTTATTAAACAGTAAAAGAAGAAGAAGAAGTGAAGTATCTTTTCACCAGAATACATTCATTTTCCGAACTGTAATATCCTTTTTTTTCTGGCAAAATCGGCTGTTCAACAAAAAATAAGTTCGAAGGGAAAAAAGTGAAGTGTTCGTTGATTTTCAACAGATGATTTGTTTTATACAGGCACCGCATTAGTTATATTAGTCACAGAATATGTCCAACACTCACGTAAACTTTAATACCAACATTAAGTACCGACCACGTTTGCTTCTGGACTTAATTTCCGGCATTTAATCTTGGAATGGGCCGGAGGGTATTTAGTGGCTGCAGCATGGCCTTCGATTATGGGATGGATTTGTGCCAGCTTAATGGCCGTGATTTACTTTCGCGTACTCCTGATTTCGTTCCACAGTTCTGGTCGTCTCGGGTTATCTGAAGTTGCGGGTTTTCGCAATCTTATAACACTTTGTTCTCTCTACTCCTCTTTTTCCAGTAGTTTCTTGAGAGCGGTATCCATTCTCAGGGTATTGGCCGTACTATTTATATAGGTTGATTTTGTTATTACTCAAGTAGCGGAACGATTAGCGCTGAAAATAAGCATTGAATCGACAACTCTTCTTTTTTGGGTCCACTAGTGTTCTGCTCTATAGGTTTTTTTCTCCTGAATTTTAAATGATAAGGAATGATTCGTGAAAATTGATTAGGTAATTATCTATCTGGCAACTAATATACTTACCAGTAATAATGACCCTGTCAGAAGCAACTACTCGGGACGATACTAATGATAAAAATGCTGACGTTCGAATCTTGCTTATCGGCGAGCGTAAGTTGTACCTTATTTTGTATTCCTTTTCTACTTCATGAAGTTCGATAATTGACTCCGGAATTTGGTAAGAATCTGTACAATTTCCGTTCATACAAATCACTGGTTTCGTAGATGACTACAATAGCTGATTTTGTTTCAGATGAAGAGACAAAGGTCCTGGTTTTTTTTCCCAAAATGTGGTCATTCAGTTTCAAGTTTATTTTCAGCTGGCGTTGGTAAAACATCGCTAATAATGTCGTTGCTTGAAGACGAATTTTGCGCAAAGGTACCTCCTCGTATTGACAATATAATGATTCCAGCTGATGTTACCCCTGAAGGTGTTGTTACATCAATCCATGATTATTGTGGTCAGTTTTGTTATTCGTTTGACAGTTATTGGTGAACATGAGCATGTTTAATGGTATGACAAGCTGATAAAGTACAATGCAGAAAGAGTGACGAGGAAAAAAAAGAAAGATGTTATCTGTTAGAAGAGTAGTTGTTCAACAATCCTGTACGTTTTCATAAATAACTGCTGAAATTGGCGGGTTTTCATAGGTAGTGAACAAACTGAGGAAGAACTTAAAACGGAAATTGAATCCGCGAACGTCGTGTGTCTCGTTTATGCCGTAGACGATCATCAATCGCTTGAAAAAGTTAGTTGTTAATTCTTAGGTAATTTTTCACCATTACTGCCTCCCACTATTAAATGATTGTTAACTACAGGGGAAAAGATATCCTTTCTGTTCTGTTTATTTTATTTTTGTTTACTGTCATCAGCAGTGTAATTCAGGCAATTCTAGGGCTAGATTCTTGGAAAAATGCAGATCATCATAAAAGGCAGTTACAAACCTCATATGATTTTCAGTACATATTCAATTTAAATTTCATGTGCACTTCTTTCTTCCAGGCAAAAAATATCTGGTTACCTTTGATCAAGCAAATCAAAAGTTATAAAAGTGATAGCTGCCCGATTATTTTTGTTGGCAATAAATCAGACGAAGCTGGACCATCTAAGCACATAGAAAAGGTAATGAGGACATTCCCTACATTTTTGATGGGAATTATTTAATTCGCAGTTAAGCTACACTGAATTACTGTGCAGGTGCTTCCAATAATGAACGAATACGATGAAATAGAAACATGCGTGGAATGTTCAGCGAAAACGATGAAAAATATTAGCGAGATATTTTATTATGCTCAAAAAGCAGTTATTTATCCCACTCATCAGTTATATATATCAGAAGATAGGGAATTAACGAGGAAGTGTAAAAAGGCTCTTATACGAATTTTCAAGGTAAGTTTGCGATGTACCACGAAGTCCGTGTAATGTCCATGATTTGTTCTTCAATACTTCAGTTGCCTAACTTTACATTTGTGAAACATATTTTCGGAAGTTATCATCTTGGAGATATTATGAAAATTATTTCCAGTTATGCGATTTTGATAATGATGGCCTTTTAAATGATACTGAGTTGAATCAATTCCAGTTGTTTGTTTTTGGAGTTCCACTTACAGCATCTGCTGTTTCGGTTAGTTTCCTCTATCAAATTTTTTAATATTGCACAGGCTGCTCTTATTTGGTTACTAATGTAATATGTCGTGCTAAGTTATTTCCATTTCTAATTTTATTACGCTGTGTATAAATCTAAGCTAAGAAAGTCCTCAATTTATTTACGGTGGGAAGTAAAACATGAAATCGAAAAGTGAGGGTTAAAAATGTTCGAAATTGATTTAAGATTTGTTAGTCATTCATGCTTGCGATAAAAATATGTTGTTTTTCAAGGATGTGAAAACAGCTGTGCGATTAAATACGAAGGACGGTGTTATCGATGATGCTATTACTCTTCCGGGTTTGCTTACTTTTTCCTCTTCCTTCGGATATCTATTAAATTAGTCTTTTTTTGTTGATTAACTAAACTCTGTCCCTCACGTTCGAAATATTTAGGCTTTATTTACCTCCATCAGCTTTTCATTCATCGTGGTCGACACGAAACAACGTGGAGGGTATTGAGGCGATTCGGATATGACAATGAATTAGAACTTGCAGCTGATTATATACAACCCTCGTATGCTATTTTAAACATGAACATGCCGTTAATATTGGTCTTTGAGGGACATAAATATCGAATGATTAACTGGGTTTTCATTAATATCTCTGCAATATTTTCAGGCTGAAGGTACCAAGGGGTAGCTCTACGGAGTTGACTCAGGAAGGCTTTCAATTCATCACTGCTTTGTTCCGAAAATTTGATGAGGTTTGTTGTTCATGGTGAAAACAGTGAGTTCACGATGGAAAGAATGAGAGGAAAAAAGTGAGCAAAGTCAAAATTTTTCTCGTGCGAGAAAAATTCAGCTGCAAAATATCCATTCTGATAATTCATAGGAGCATAGACTTCCAAGTCATTCAATGATGGAGGAGGTGGATGTCGATACAGTTTTAATTTATATTCCAAGAGTCTTCAAGCAACCTGAGGAGATACAGTTGTGTGTTGAAGTGGTTAGGATCAAATAGTCCGAACTACTCACATCTTAAACAGTTTGCTGTTAGCAGAATGGCTCAGAAGTTACAGTAATAAGTTTCTTCGAAAGTCCTGAACAGAAGAAATTTCAGGATAAGGATGGCTGCTTATCTCCTATGGAACTACAGAATCTATTCAGTGTTTGTTCACCACAGGCATGGAGCAAAGAAGCCAATTCTGCTGTGGAGACAAATCATAAGGGATGGCTAACTTATAATGGATATGTGGCTTACTGGATGTAATGTGTAAATTTTCATTATAAACAAAATTTTTGGATGGAATTTGATGGAGTTCCAGTTTCTAGAAGGTTTGCAAAGATAATCTGAAGATTTTTTGTTATTAATCTTTTGTCTTTCATAGTTTAACAACATTCTTGAATGTTTCGTTGACGATGGAATTATTGGCTTATCTCGGTTTCAGTATCCAACACGAATCGCAACTAGATGCTATTAAGGTTCGTTAGGAGAAACTGTTTTTTCTTTTTTCTTTTTTTTTTTGTAATATCCATGTTACTCGAATAAGTATATTTTATTAAATTGATATGAAGGAGATTTTTGTTTTTTTTTCAGGTAACTCGCGATAGGCGAATTGATATTGCTGAGAGATTTACAACAAGAGCAGTATTTCAATGCCATGTTATTGGCCCCAAAGGCGCTGGCAAAACGATTTTTTTACAGTCTTTTGCTGGTCGCAGTCTGACGGTTTGTCATCTTGCGTATCAATAATATTCTAGAAAGGTTTTCTAGAAAAGGAATTGATAATATCTGACGGCTTTGTGCAATTTCCAGCCTGACTATTCTGTCTCCGGGACAGTGAAAATTTAGACCAAGTAGATAGCTTTGAATCTTGGTTTTTTTAACTACTGTATTATTCTCGACCAAAGTTTGAGTGGTCAAAATAAAACAAATGAATAGTGCCTTTGCATTGTTAAAGTAATCAAAATATATAATAAGATAAATGAGAGTGAGGGTGTGGCTGGCCGAAAGTTAAATAGGTAAACTCAAATTGAATGTTATTGTCATACGCTTGTTTGATCTTCATTTATGACTGAGTTCGTGACTTGTTGAAACAAAACTAATTGTAGGATGTAGCGGCAATGGGGACAAAGTCGATTTCACCCTATGTTTTGAATAGTGTGAAAGTCAAACAAAGTACGAAATATCTCTTGGTAAGAAACACTTTCATTTTTTTGGCATCTTAAGAAAAATATTGCAGGGATTATTTGTAATTACATAATAAAGTAAAATTAACTTTCGATAAAAATTGAGATAGTTAAGATTGCCATTGTCAATTTCTTTCAATTGGTCATCTTTGTGAAAATTGATGTTTTAGGGAAATTTTTTGTAAATGAAAATTGTAAATTTTTAAATTTTTGTAAAAAATTTTTGCTTAAAGATCTTATTAGATGAAAAAAAAAATTTTTTTTTGCAGCTTCATGAAGTTGATGTACTCTCACCCGATGAAGCGCTTACAACTTATGAGAAAAGTGCTGATGTTATTGTTCTCTTATATGACATTACCAATCCTGACTCGTTTGCTTATTGTGCGTCTATATATCTGGTGAGAATGTTTTAGGGTTCTATATATTTGTATGTATATATTCGTATATATATATATATATATATATATATATATATATATATATATATATATATAT